CATTCCTCCTTTATTTTGAATACTGAAAATATGAACCCTTATTTAACCTCCCTACTTTCTTGCCAATCTCTAGTTTCCTCTCTTCTTCAATAAAGGTTAATTTCCTACTCCTGCTTCCAAAAGCAATATTACTAAGAAATTCATTTCCCTCACAGGCAATGAGTCACAGATCCAGTATGCTCAATGTGAAATTCTTGTGGTTAAGAGGCAAAATTATGTAGAATTACTACATGCCCAAAATTTAAACCTATGGAAGAATTACTCTACATTAAAATGATTATACTGGTTCTGTTAAAGGTGATCAGATGTATTTTTCCTCATTGTTTTCCTACTTGTCTATACTACATTTTACTTTATGAATCAAATTAATATACAGGGTTGGGCAAAAGTGGTTTACAGTTGTGAGTACACAAAAGTTTATTTTTGTATTATTATTATTGTATTATTTCCATACTAACCTAACCTGTATTGCCCTAACCTGTATTTACACTGAGTATGTAAATTTGTCACATATGTAAACACTTACATACATATGCATACAAAAGATTCTACCCAAAGTAAATACTAAAGGTTGATGCCAAGACTTCCACACATGAATAACCGAAAGATAAATTTTTATCTATGGAGAGATGCTTCTAAATGGTCTAAAACATTAAGGGTTAAGTATTTAAAAATAATTTAGAATTGATTGCCTCTGGAAAGGGGCTAGGGAACAGAATAAAAAAATATTTCATTGTACACCATTTGTGTCTGAACTATTCATAAAATAATAACTTTTTTAAGAGAGAGAGAGGAAGGGAAAGAGACAGAAACATCAATTTGTTGTTCCACTTATTTATGCATTCACTGGTTCATTACTTTATGTGCTCTGACTGGGGATCGAACCCACAACCTTGCCATATGGGGCCGAAGCTCCAACCAACTGAGCTACCCCACCAGGGCCAAAATATTAACTTTTTATACCAACAACCATCATTTAAAGTAAGCTTCTTGTTCTTCCCCCTACCAGAAAGGACAAGTAATTCCATCTCAATTTTCCCTTGAACAGAATATCCTAAATTGTCTTAGCCCTCTGTCCCTTTCTCTGTCCCTCTGTCCTCACTGAATTTGTTGGATCAAGTTAATATATGATAAAAAAAAATTCTAAACTCTATAAATAAATATGTTACAAAATGAACCAAATCCCATCATCAAGAAACGACCAAATATGGCCCTGGCTGGCATAGCTCAGTGGATTGAGCGCGGGCTGTGAACCAAAGTGTCACAGGTTCGATTCCCAGTCAGGGCACATGCCTGGGTTGCAAGCCATGACCCCCAGCAACCGCACATTGATGTTTCTCTCTCTCTATCTCCCTCCCTTCTCTCTCTAAAAATAAATAAATAAAATATTTTTTAAAAAAGAAACGACCAAATATAAACAGATCACATAATAGTACTTCTAAAGTCAGCCTTTACCCTAAATCTGAGGTCATCATTCTTTGCAAAACCAATTATCAAAGTGTACCTTTCTCTTCCCCTATTCTCCCCCTGCTGGAAGCTTTAACAATTAAGAGAATCAAACTACTGAAACTGTGTACATACCACCAACTATTAATGTTGGTATAGTGTTTTGTCCAATTGAGTTTAAAATAAAGGCAAATGATAATACATATTTAAATCCATTATATTTCTCTATTTACCTATTTTTAGAGATAGGCGAAGGGAGGAAGAGAGGAAGAGAAACACTGATGTATTAGAGATACATCAATCAGTTGCCTCTAGCAAGCCTCCAAAAACTGGGGACCTGGCCCACAACCCAGGCGTGTGCCCTGACTGGGAATCAAACCAGTGACCTTTCAGTTTGCAGGTCAGCACCCAATCCACTGAGTCGCATCAGCCAAGGCTAAATTCTTTTAAAAACACAAATAAAACAGGAGGAAAAAAGACAAAAGACAAGGACTTAAGTTTTGTTTCAGCTGTTTCTCCAAGGCACACCCAGAAATCAAAGACACGCTGGATACATACTATAGCTGGGATGGCAAGCAGAAAAACGTGTGAAGAAAAAAGAGGGAAAAGAGATAATAAATATTAAAACCCAGTAAATAAGAAATGAATTCTTCTTTCTAGAATTTTCTGAACATGCCAACCCTAAAACATATTTATTTATATTTGTATATCAAAACCTGACTCATGAATAGGGAAGAAAGGAACCAGTATTTCAATAAATGGTCCCAGGAAAACCTGCTAGCAACTGAAAAGGAAAAAGATCCAGCAGCAATTCTAGAAGACAATTTAGGTGAATATTTACTTGACCTTTGTGGAAGAATTTCTTACGGATATATACAATGGAAAGTATCGACAAATTTGTATCATAAATCTGTGTGTACAAAAAATAATCCCAAAGTAAGAGCAAAAGACCAAAGGAAAAAAATACATTTCACTAATATGGTTAGCAAAGACGTCTTAATCAAACAGAGCATATGCAAACAGTCTTAAATAAATTAGACATTGAATTTGAGATTACAAACTATAATGTTTATGACAATACAAGTCCAGAAAGTAAAAAATGTTGATAGTTTCTGAATAATTTCTGGAACAACCAAGAACTCTGAACAGTGACTGGATTAAATGACATTTAGCAATTATTAATTTTTAAAAATATAACTACAATGTTAATTATCTTAACTAAAGAGTCCTTAACTTGAAAAATCCCACTAAGTATTTTCAATATTAAAGAGATACAATGCCTGCGATCTAGCTGGAAATGATCCTGCAAAGGTGGAGATCTAGACAGAGCAAAACAACCATTAGTTGAATAACTGTTGAAGCCAGTTGATGGGTACACAGGAGTTCCTTTTACTACTCTACCTTTTAGCATAAAAAATTTCAAACAGCCCTGGCTGGTGTAGCTCAATGGATTGAGTGCGGGCTGCAAACCGGGCATTGCAGGTTCAATTCCCAGTCAGGGCACATGCCTGGGTTGCAGGCCATGGCCCCCAGCAACCACACATTGATGTTTCTCTCTCTTTCCCTCCCTTCCCTCTCTAAAAATAAATAAATAAAATCTTTGAAAAAAAATTTCAAACACATCTGTTATTTTGAAATACATTTTTACTTAAAAATAAAACAAAAACTCGCTGCTCCCCCTAATAAAAACATGAAAAACCCAGGGCTCTTCTTCTTGAGAAAGCAGGGATAATCAAGGCTGATTCAAGGTTAGAGGATGAAAATCTCTCTACTAAGATTTTAAGAAGTTGATTTATGATGAAATTTCCTTTGCAAGTAGCCTGCCAAATCTTTACAATAATCAGGAAAGAACAATATCAAAATTATTTTCCATTTAAAAAATAAAAATAAAAACCCATAGCAAGAGCAAGTAACAATTTAGAATGCATGTAATTTGTCTTTGCAAGACAGAAAATAGAGATGTTGGCCAATGAAATGGGGAACTCAGAAGAAGCATTTATCTAAAAAGCATCAATTGTATTAATTAGAGCTCCAAAGTTATACAACCGAGGAAGTGAATCATATGCTAGAACTGTCCCCCAGGACATTCACAGAGCCTACACTTGAGTTTGCTTGCTACTCTATTTTTTAGCCTTATTCCCAATTATATCACAGAGGTAATTATTCATCTTTAAAAATAATGTTTTTCTAGAAATAACTTTCTGACCCCAAGTTTTTACTCAGTGGCCAATGTGGAAAACTGATCAACCAGATGAGCAGAGATATCCCAAAACTCTGGCTACCTCTCACATTAAACAGAGAGAACAAAATGCCTATCAATTCCACTATTACCATAATATTATACTATATACTAATGTCTAAAGTTGGGATTACTTTGATCAGATCACCCAAGTTCTCAATGTAATAAGGTGTTCAAATTCACTCATATACAATTATTTTGCAACATATTCATTTGCTTTACTCTTTTATCTGAAATGAATCTCAAACATAGCCATACCTTATAATAGTTTACATTTGCCTGCAGCTTTACTACTTTCACATCCTAATAACCACCCTTCTGAAAAAGTCAAAGCAGAAAAATCATCCCTGTTTTAAAATGAGTAAAACAGACTCAAATAAGCTAGCATGTTTACCATGGTAACACGTCTGGTATGAGACAGACCTTGGACAGGAAGTCACAGTGTGAATTCCTGACCAGGACTCATTCCACATTGGTCACATATGACAAACCATGCTAGTTACATCTGTTTCACCCTTATAAAGAAACTTCAAAAGCAGTGCAGAAATTAGAAAACTATCAACTACTTCCTATTACTACTAATGACATACTTTTCTCTTAGACTACATTTTCATCTCTGATGGAAAGTGGGCAAGAATACAGATTCAAATCAATCAATCATTATTTGTTAAAAACTGTACTAAAGCTACACGTGGGAGAAGTTAAAGATTTTTTAAATATTTAAATTTTGAAATAAATCCCATATATACCCTAAATATCACAATTCTATGTAATTATGAATTCTCTGAATTCTATCGTAACATTTTTTAAAAATTCAAAGTAACAGCCAAGCCATTATAGTCACAAATTCCATATAATGTTCCCTACACTGATCCAATTAGGGGGCTGCATATTGTTCCACCTAGAAGTAGCTATTTACAAGAGTAAAATACAGTAAAATCATCTCTGAAATTCTTAACAGAAAATATTTTATAGGATAACAAAAAACTTAAAGACACTCTTTCAGAGGGCACACTATTCAAAAGGAAGAGACTATAGCAAGCCAAAAAAAAAAAACTGACAACAAAAAAAAACTGACAACAAAGTGTTTCCTTTCCAATGGGTATGTACAGAGGACACAAGGTCAGCAGAACAGAAAGTCTGTGCAAAATATCACTGTATAGATCATGTATAGATTAGAGGACAATGACCTCATTCATCTTCAACAAATGACAACTTCACAAGCGGTACTCTTAAAAACTTTGGGGATGCATCAGTTCTTACCTTCTCATTCAAGGAGGAAAGAACTGAGGCCCAGAGAGCTTCAGTGACTTACCCAAAGTCATGCAGCAGAAGTGGGATTCAAACCCGTGTCTTCTCTCACTTCTCCTTTCCTGAAAAGGATATAGCTAATAAGTCCTCAGGGGACTAAGTAACTGGCAGAAGAGTTCTGAAGAGGATATAGAAAAACTAAAAGGCACAGCCCCTTTTAGTTTTTGCTCTTGCACAGCAAGAGCTGGCATTCAAGTTAATTATTAACTATAATTAACGTATATGATAATGATAACAATTATATGCCAATATCATTAACCAAAATAAATGTCACAGACAAAGCAACTTCTGTGATAACCTTTGTGGTGAAAGTTCAAATTCAAAGAAAAGAAGCTTAACTCTTCAAGGCCACCAAGAATTTACTTAGCTCTTTAATTTCTCCAAGACTCTGCAGCACAGGACTTATTAAAGGTCCACCCAGGGGTTGTCACCATTTTTCTGGAAGCTCCCGGTTACTATGACCCTATTTTCCTCTGTCTTGCACATTACCTTCTTTCCTCAGTGACACTTTTTTTTCCTTCTCAGTATGTGATCATATTCTAGGAATCAATCACCTTAGGCAACACTTGCTAAAATATCATGGGACAGCAGAAAGAATGCGTCTTAGATAAATGATTCAAGTTATGGCACTACTACTGAGAATGAATACATTACTTAGCCTTTCCATGACTTCAGTTTCTCTATCTAAAAAATGGGAGTGGTAACTGAAACTATTCATTTAAAAGGGTTGTTGCGAGGGTCAAGTGAGAATTTGTAAGAGTGCTTTATAAACTGTAAAAATGCTCTGGGCCAGCTCAACTCTAAGCCCTTAGATCTGAAATGTATCTTCAGCCGCAGCCCAAGTTCTCTGTATACTGCTTTAGAGTGTTTGTATTCCCCTGGGGCTGGGCTAACACTCTTGGGCATAAAAGAGAAAGGGAAAAAAGAAATCTTCTGTTCTGAATCTTGGTGCCTCACCTAAGAATGCCCTGTCCTTCCCTGCCTAGTCCTTACTCTTGCACAATCTGAAAGATTCTCTCAAGGTGCAGGAGTAAAATTTATTATAAATAGTCAAATAAAGGGAAATCTTTCAATTGAATCATCTTTGTTTATATTCAGTATCATAACCCAAATTCTCACATTCAGAAAATGTTTTCTAAATTTCTTATATGACTTTTTTTAACTACTCAAGTATGTAGTAGTTAAAAAAAGAAAATTACATATGCATTTCATTTAAAAAAAATACTTAGTACTCATACTCTGAATTAAAATATTTAAACTCCAAGGGAAAAAAGCTGTATTTCATAAGTTTAAAACTGAAAAATTCAACAGAAGATGATATAAAAATTCCACACTATGTGACCCTAAATCACAGCGGACATAAGTTGCTTATAATTGTTAAGAAAGCAGTTTTCAACAGCTGTATTACATAGTAGTCTCTTCTGAAATTGTGAGGCACAGCTCAAGTGATGTTACAAGTTTATGAATGATTTACATCATTCAGATAAATCAGAGTGGAATCTGAACTTTTTTTCTCAGTATCATTCTCATTCACTTGCTTGCCTATATGACTTTTTTTTTGTTTGTTTTCTTTGTTTTTTCCTATATGACTTTTGACTTTTTGAGCAGCAAGAATTATGGCTACTGCTCTCCCAACTTACGTAACTCAGAGCCTCTCTCAACCATACTACAACCTAGATGACATATCTGCACACAGACGCACAAATGCCATTCCTAACAGGAAAAATGCTTAGGCTCACCATTACAAAGAAAGCAATGTCATTAAAAAAGGAAACTTGAACACCACATATTTCAGACAAATCCATTTCTTCTACATTATTTTTGCTAAGAGTAACAAAACAACAAAATACATACTATGTTTAAAAAATAACTTGTTTAAGAAGTATATTGTAAGGTAAAACAAGACAGCAGCCAGAACATTGATCTCTAAGTATGGTGCACATACTATGAAGATACTTACTGAATTCCTAACTTCATTTGAAGTACCTTTCTTAGCTGTTAAATCTTGAAAGCGCTGCACCTGTAACACTTGTCAATTAATGAGTGCAGTCAAGCAAAAGCCAGCTTCATTCTGTATTTTTAGAAAGCTGAGACTCACATCAGTGCTCTGACCTAAGTTTAAAAAGGAAATGAAAATTCGATATGAAAATAACCAATAAGAGGTCACTTTCTCCAAACAAATGCATTGAAGTTGAAAATGTTATAGACAAAATGTAACACTACTATACACCCAAAAATCATTTTAGTTTAGAAAAATATACTTTCCCATAAAGTTGAATTTATTTACTTATTTTTTAATTGATTGATTTGAGAGAGAGAGAGAGACATGAATTCATGGACTTGTTTTTCCACTTATTTATGAATTCATTGGTTCATTCTTGTATGTGCTTTGACCCGGGATCAAGCTGGCAAACTGGGGTATAGGGAGGACACTCTGATCCACTGAGGTACTCGGCTAGGGTGCAGAGTTGAATTTAATTTTAAAAGCAATACACATTTATAGTTTTAAAATTCAAACACAGAAAAGTTAAAAAATAAATAAAACCACAAAAGTGAAATGTACTCCCCTCTCCTCAGAGGCAACTTCTATTAATAAAATTCATGTAAATTTTCTAGGTATTTCAGGTATATGCATGTTGTATATACTAGGCTGAATTACTATTAAAATCACTACATTTCCAATCACCAAAATGTCTTAAATATGACTTATTTTGTAGACTGGTTGCTCTCATTTTCAGAGCTTGGGTTAACTATTTAAAGCCATGGTTCATCACAATATATATAATGATGAAAATTGGAAACTACATTAATGTCCAAAGTTAAATAGGTCAGTTTATTTAAAATATCTTATAAAACATGGCCAGCTAAAAATTAAGTTTAGGCCCTGGCTGGTGTGGCGCTCTGGACTGAATTCCAACCTGCAAACCAAACGGTTGCTGGTTCAATTTCCAGTCAGGGCACAAGCCAGAGATGTGGGACAGGTCCCCAGGAGCGGTGCATGAGAAGCAACCACACACTGATATTTCTCTCCTTCTCTTTCTCTCTCTCTTCCCCTCTCTCTAAAATAAATAAAATCTTTTTTAAAAAATCAAGTTAGAAAGTTTCTAAGGCCACAGTATAAAGTGCATTAAGTTAAACAAAAAATTAGAATACAAGCCTATGTGGCTTTAGATCTCATTTACACCAAAAGACGAATTTTTTAAAAATAAAATACCAGAAGGAAATATGTGCAGAGATGACTTTTGAATGAGTGGGGTATATTTAATTATTGTTGGCTTTATATATTATTATCCTTCACAGTTTTACAATAACAAACATCTTGTGTTTAAAAAGGTGGAGGAAGGGCTATTAGAAATGCATAGTCAAGCTAAGTTTAAATAGAACAAAACAATTCGTGAAAGTAGTTCTATTAGCATATTCTGATAGCTACAACAAGTACGTTTATTTAATACATCTTCCATAATTGTGCAAGTCAAAAAGTCTAGTCAACACCGCTGTCATATAAAGTAAATGATCTTTGTGTCAAGAGAAAACTGGGCCTGAATAACTTTGGGCAACTTACCCAACCACCCAGAGCCTGTTTCCTCCAGTGTAAATCAGGGAAAACAATATCTGACTTGGTTGATGTGTTGGATAAACATAATGTAAAGGAAATTAAGGGACTGGCATATACATCCCATTAATAGTAAATGATGATCATTACAGAGGGAAACTGGAGTAGGAGGAGGTAGAAGAAGATAAACGGGGAATAAATGCTAATAGAAAGAGATACTACTTGGGGTAGTGAACACAATACAATATACAAATGATATAGAATTGTATGCCTTAAACCTATATAATTTTATTAACCAATGAAACCCCAATAAATTCAATTAAAAAATAGTGTCAGTATTATTGATGTTCAGGCAGGTAATTGTTTTTAAATTTCAGACTCAAATAATTTTCAACCCTCTTTCAAAATGGTTTGAAAGTGCCCAAACTGTTCTCTACCTAACTACAGTTTCTACTGATATGTGCCCAACTACAGAGACAAACATTCACATGGTTAGTCTGTGCTGTGCAGGCCACAGCATGAAAATGCACATGAACACATACCAAAAAAACACCTTTACTTATAAACCTATAGTAGTAATTGTCTAAGAAGTTTTATAATCTTAAAGAACCCTAATATAAACCACAATATAACAAAGAGCCACTGGGAGGAGTGCTTAATTTTCTGCAAAATCTTTTTAACCCATATACTGATATATCACTATCATCATCCATTTAGACAATTTAGTGTCTTACATTGAGGTGTTTGTTCTAAGTCCTATTAAATTATATGGAAAAGATTACTACAAAAATTCTTTTTAGCAACATACTGGTTTTTTACAGGTACAGAATAAAGTTGAGATTTTTCTTCATTTATTTATTTCATTCACAAGCCTACTGATTGCCTACTCTGTTCTGCCTGACCTCATGGGGCCTCCCAAGGGAATAGGCCAGACGGCCACAGACAGTTAAATATGGAAGGTAAAGTGATGTTTCAGCCATGGAAGGTAAATGGCTGTTTACAGAAGCCTAAGGTGGGTTAGGACAGAGCTCTAGTAAAGGTCATATGAGACCTGAGCCTTCAAAGAAAAACAGCCATGCTTAAAGACTAGGAAGAGAGGAAAAACAAACAGTATTTCTCTGGATTCAGTCCCCCACAAAAATATCAATGCAACAATGAAATTTAACATTTTTACAAACTCATTTGGAAAGGGATTTGGCAGTGAGAAATTTATTCAGTTTATGATGACCCAATGGCAGTCCAAATAGTAAAACACCTAAATCAATGGAGCAAAATGTAGGAAAAACCCAAATAACTGTACTAGCAGGCAGAAGGCATTAGATGGGCTTTTGGTGTGCGGAATGCAAGGTGATGTACAGGGAGGAGAAAATACTCCAAATTTACTCTAAGCCTAGTAAGATGATTACTCAAGACAACGAAGCAAAAAGACCTTGAAGTTCCTGCAGAATGTTTCTTGAGATTATCTTCTCCCAGCTCTACAACTTCAGGCAAAAAGACCAACAAAACAATGGACTTCTGTAAGGATAGGATTAGAAATGGGACAGAAAACATTATCTTGCCCTTAACAAAAAACATGGCCTGTCAAAACAGAAGTACTGCGTATATAGCTCTAAACACTGCAGTTCAAAGACAATAGGGTATAGTGATTAAGAGAGCAGGCTTGGGGCCTGGCTGGGTAGCTCAACTGGTTAGAATGTCATCCCGAAACACCAAGGTTGTGGGCATGATCCCCGGTCAGTACACATACAAGAATCAAACAATGAATGCATAAATAAGTGGAACAACAATCTCTCTCTCAAATCAATAAAAATTAAAATAAAAGGCTTGTTCAAATCCAACTTTCTGCCACTCACTATGTATCAGTCCCTTCCTTTAGACAACGGGAGTAGGCACATATACATCTGACTTGCTCTACGGGAAAATGAAAAAACACAGAAGTTTTCAGTACCTGACACACAGTATTCCTCAAAATGGTGACTATCATTATCACTACTATAAGGATGCATTTTTTCCAGGCAAAAACTATTAAAATATTAAAAGACATTCTCAAACTTTGATGTGTATTAAAATAACCTGAAGTGCTTGTTGAAAATGCAGATTTCTGTGACCCCCTCCTCCCAAGAAATAATTCTATGCGTCTAAAGAAGTATGTGGGCCAAACATCAAGAATTATTGAAGAGAATCAAGGCACTGCCTTATATAAAGGAGCTGAAAACTAAGGTTCTTCCATAAAGAACTGGCCTAAAATAGACAGTACATTCAAGGGGAATACAAACATATTCACCAAGTTCATTCCTTCGACCAACAATCACCGAGTACCTAATATGCAGTAAAAAGGAAAGACAAGGTTCCCATTTGCAGAGTTTAATTTCTAGTATGGGAGAGAGAATATAGAAAGTAAGGAAATTCCTCTCTCCTAATACCTCCCCTCAACTTCCAGCCTTTAAAACCCTCAAGAGGAAGGACACCACTATCCCTTCTGGGAGCATGCCCATGCCTCTCTTCCTTCTCAGGCTTGCATCTCCTAAACTCTAAGGGTCCCCATGACATTTGCAACCAAGGGCGCAGCAGCAGCTGGTCCTGGCCTTACCCCTGAACCTGTTTCCAAGGCCCCCTCTTCTCTGACTTCCAGCAAGCCAAAGCAGCCCCACCAAGGCTCTCTGCTGCCTCTTCTATTCTAAGCTCTTCTTTATTTCACTGTCCCCAGCTTTAATACACTACTCTCAAAATCAAAATAACTAAATAAATAAAAATGGAAATTCCAAATAGTAACACATATTATGTGGAAAACAAGAGAATGGAGAGGTCAATGCAGGGCAATCTCTCTGAAGACACAACGTCTGAACTAAGGCCTGAATTACATCATGGAATCAGTAGCAAGATCTGGGATAAGAGCAGTGAAGCAGTAGGGTGCAGCAAGTGCAAATGCCCTAAGGCAGGTGCAAGCCAGGCAAGTTCCAGGGACCACGCTAGTGGGGATGGAACAAAGGATGAAACTGACCCGGCCAGGCTCTGACAGGATGATCTAGTGCCAAAACACGTAGTGCCTGGCAAACTTTGGAAAAGATTTTGGAGTTTACTCTGAATGTGATGGGAGGCTTTCAACAAAGGGGTGACATAATCTGACTTACATTTTAAAGGATCTCTTAGGGTGTGGTAAGAGGAATGAACCATTAAAAGCCAAAGTGGAAACAGGTAAACCAGCAGGTTACTGCAGTAGGCCTGGTGAGAGAGGGTGACAGTTAGCAAAGGTGGCGGCAGTAGAGATGGGAAGGTGACAGATCTGGAACATTTACTGAACACAGTAACTTAAGGCAAACCAAAGAAAAAGAGTTAAGTCACCTGGGACTGATTTTATCCAAGAGACAGATAAAAGGTTTTATCCAGAGATTAAAAGGTTTTAGGTAAGCTTATAGCTAATAGGATCTCAAATGGGTTACCAGCATACTTAGAATACTTCATACTACGTACTTATCTTTTGAAGCTGAAGGGAAGGGGACATTTCCTTCTCTTTTGGCACCACCCATAAAGCAGTGGACTGAATGGGCGCACAGCAAGACTGTGTCAATAAAGCATACTGAGTGGGACTCGTAAGGGAAAATCTTTCAGGACCTTATTGCTACAGGCACTGTCAGCACTGGGAGCATACTGTAGCTATGGAACAGAACTAAACCTCTACCTGAATCAAATCACTAAATTAGCAAAAACTTTTTAAAACTTCCATATTGTCAACTCAGGCTGTTCTGTGCCTGCTCTTCCCAGAGTTAAACAAGAAAAGCCTTACTTTGCCACACAATGCATATTAATTTCTTAAATCTTATAGCATCATAAATATTTGGAAGGAAATCTTTTAAAAACACTTAATTTTCATGGTATGGCAAACACATAGTGATTCCTCCCTAAAAGTTAGGGTCCAAAAGTCTGTATCTAAAAAAGCGGGTTACAGAAAAGCATATGTGCTTTTTTTGTGTAAAATATATAAATGCCAAAAAGAAGTCTGAAAGGACATGAACCACTGCAAATACTTGGGTGATCTATGGATGGCAGGCATATCGATGACTTTTTGTTTGTGGTGATCTGCTTCAATCAACACTTTCCCCCAATTATCACAAATTACTTTGTATAAGCAAAAAAATCAGTTACACATTAGCATAAAAGGTTTAAAAAAAGAACTGCAAGAAAACAACTTCATTTGTCTAAATCAACAGGATTCCAACTGTGGAATTAAGAAGAAGATCTCAACTGCCCACACAGGAGGAAGAAATTTGTTAAGAGGAGGTTCATGTTATACCTACCCCACAAGAACACACCCTTTAAGGCAGTAGCCTAAACTCGTAAGAACTGTTCCTGGATTTGATAAGGGGCCATCAATTAGCACATACTTTTGTTTTTCCGTCTCGCAGTTTACCAAAGAAATACCTCAATTTATGAGTTCTGCGGCGGCGGGGGGTGGGATGTTCTTTTTAAAAACTAAGTTAGGACAAAAAGGACATCTGGTCTTCAGGTCTCCCTCGTGCCCTCGAGGGGTGCAGAGGGTGGCAGGGCTGGCGGCAGGCTACACTACACTGCATGGCCAGTCACCTGAAGTGGAAGGGAACACAAGCTTTCTGCCACCTGCACAAAACTGGGCAGCGAGTACACTTCCTAAGGGTCTCTAGACTGAAACGCTGAGGCAGTTTACTGCCGCCCAAGTTACTGTAGGCACAGCTGCCAACGATTTCTCACAACATAAAAACTGGAAGGTCTCTCTTCAACAAACACACGTATTCGGTGCGTCAAGCTCATCTAACTCTATTGGTGCAAACCCAAGACATTCTTACTAGGACCACATCTTCGATTTTGCAAAGCAGAGCTGAAAACATCCTACTGACTCTTTACAGCTAACAAACATCATCTAGGCTAAAATCTTACACGTACAGCAAGAGCCGCTTTGGAAAACTTTGACTTTAAACGGCAACATGGGACTTCAACTACTCCGGTAACCAGTTAATCTCATATAATCTGTTCCAATAAAGGGTGCTACCTCTTTACTGTCAGCTCTGGTTCCACTTACTGAACAAACAGAAAAAAAGGGAATCCTTTAAATTTGCAACACAATAAAAGATAAGAAGCTCCCGCTTTCTGGGTGGCAGCTTTCCTCTTATCAATCACAACAAAGGACGCATCCTAGCGTCTTCCTTAAACCCGGCAAGGGCTACAAAACAGAGATAAATGATATAGTGTGAATTGGTGCATTTCTCCTTCCAGTTAACGTACGACTGTCTTACTCCATTATACGCGTCCACCCGAATTGACTGTCTTGCCCTAAAAATAAAACCACCCGGGGCTACCGTCCACTTTCCTGCCAAGCCCCGACTCTGGTTTCTCCCGCAGAGAAAGCCAAACTGCAGGCTTTTCTTTCTCGCTTATCGCAGGGGAACGCGGGCTCGGCAGCAGCGAGTTTCTCCCAGTGCGGGAATCGCCAGCCCCGCCGGGGAAACACCGAGCCCGAGAAGCAGCCCCTCTGCCGCAGCCACCACAGTCCGTGAGAGCCTAAAGACCCCTCCCCCCAGGAAAAACCGGGTGAGGGGAAGGTGGGCCGAAGGGGAGACACTCACCCGCCCAGACAGTAACCGACGGGGCGGGGAGGATGTGGGCCAGGACCCAGGCTCGGCAGAAAGACCGCCTGGAGTTTCCGGACGCTGCGGGTGCTGCTCTTGGCCTCTGGCTTCCTCCCCTCTTCTGTTTTGGTGAGACTGACCACGTCACTATAAACCACGAGACCCGGATCTACCCGCTTCCGCGGGCGGCGGCGCAACAGATTGCAGAGACTCGAGACCCCAGCGGTCTGTCGGCCGAGCATGCGCGCACTCCGCGCCTGCCCAGTGCGTCCGAGGAGGCGGGGACGGAGGCGAGTGTCCCAATATTTATGCGGCGGAGTCCTGGCGGGGGTTACAGTTCCGGTTGAATGGGGCGAGGCCTCGCGGATGTTAAACGGTTCCACGTAGCCTGTATTTGTCCTCGATGGACAGTTTCCTGTACTGTGCCTCCCCACTTGCCTAAGCTGATGGCCGTCCTCGACTGGAGCCTTTAGAATAGCAGTGGGTGGAGGTGGGTGCAGGTTGACGTCTGCTGAGACAGGCTACCACTGCAGGGATTGTTTTTGATCACTCAAGGCCAGGTGAAATTGGACATAAAGGATTTTGTTTTAGGTACAAAAGCACGTCGAAATTGACAGTTACTGATCCCCTCAGCCCTAACATATTTACACCCAGGAAGCTGGCTAAAATTAAGCTCAAAAGGAGTATTAAAGGGAAGATGTCACCAAAAAATGTCTTGCTCGTCTGGAGACAGTGGGGGACTGGAAGAGAAAAGCTGTGGTTAAGCAGTCAAGCCTTTTGATGCTTTAATCTTAGGGACTGGAATAAGGATACTATTTGTGGGGTAAGAACCTCACTTCTTTATAGACCAAGTTGGTGTTTACAACTCCGGCCTTCTCAGTCTTGCTGTTAAACGTTTGGGGCAGAGGAAACTTACCAATTTGGCAAAATTTAGGGTTACTCTATTGTTAAGGTCCATGAATTAACAAACTGAGTAAATAGGGCCAGCGGTAAAAGTGGAATTTCAAAGATTTCACAAATATGCTTCTTTACCTACCTACCCTGTATGAGAAGTGAAAGTTAGCTACCTTTCTTACTCTGACTCTGAGACTTTTCACCCACCCGGACTTCTCCATCTGCTATGTTGTTAATCATTTCAACTAGGTGAGTCACTTTCAGAAAATTGATATCTGCAAGAGCTTTTTAAAGTGGCTATTGAACACAGGCAACGATTTCTAGAAAAATTAAAGATTTCTGGTAAAACTCAAAGTATGTTCTAGTTAATTAAAAGTAAAAGTCAAGCTTCTTGGCCCTTAATCTGCAATCTTGAGCTCTATTTACTCAAATTCAGAGCTCTTGAAGTTCAAGAGTTTGAGGTGGTGCAATCTAGTGCCCTAATGAAGTTTGTGGGCTGACCCAGTGGTAGAGGGTCTTTTAATCTGTGGAACAGAAAGTCTGGTATGCTTGGGTGCACCCATGTGCACATATGTGCTTGAAAACACAGCTGTGTTTAAGAGAACACTATGGTACGAAACTAGACTTGACCCTGGCTGGTGTGGCTCAGTGGATGGAGCGCCAGCCATAAGCTGATAGGTCACTGTGTTTGATTCCTTCTCAGGGCACATGCCTGGGTTGCAGGCCAGCTCCCGGGTTGAGGATGTTTCAGAGGCAACCAGTCGTGGATTCTCTCACACATCAGTGTTCCCTCTCTCTTTCTTCCTCCTCTCTCTAAAATAAATAAGTTTTTTTTAAAAAAAGACTAGACTTGTATGGGTTATTGCAAAATTAGCAGTACTTGCTTTATAATGTAGACTACTGGAAAATCATAATGTTAGGATCCCTGGTAGCTCAGCTTCCAAGATACCCTCAATGATTCTTGCCTCTTGAAATGTTTGAGCCCCTTGAATTGGGGGCACTCTGACCTGTAGAATACAGCTGAAGTTGTGTGATTTCTCAGACTAGGTCATAAAGGCTCTGATTGCAGCTTTCCACCTCATTCTCTTGGACTGCTTTCTCTGGGAGAAGATAGTCTCCATGCCACTCCACTCAAGCAGCGCTATGAAGAAGCCCACGTGGAGAGGAACAAAACCGTCCACCAACAGCCAGCCAACACCAACTTGCCAGCCATGTGTGTGAACTACCTCAACTGGGTTAATCCTGCAACCCTAATCGTGCATTGTACAGACTGCATTCTAACCCAACATCTGCTTGCGATCTTGTGAGAGATAGAAAGGGCCAGCTCTTGTAATTCAATGAAAGAGAGTTTGAAAGGAATCCAGCTTATTATTTATGTCATATATTGTTGCATTTTCTAGACTTTTATATAAATGGATTCATACAACATACTCCTTTTTGGCTAGCATCTCTTACTCAGCATGCTTATTTTCAGATTTATCATTGTTTTATGTATCAGTAGTTCATACCTTTTTCTGTTCAGGGGGACAAGTTCATTTCTGTGTAGCATTCCATTATAGGGACATACTACCTTTGTGTTCATAGATATGAACTTTTGGGTTTCCAGTTTGGGCTATAAAAAATAAAGCTGCCAGGAACATTTGAGTCTAAGTCTTTGTGTAAATGTATGCTTTCATGTTTCTTGGGTAAATACTTAGAAGGGGAATAGTTGGGTCACGTGGTAGGTGTATATTTAACTTTTAAGAGACTGCCAAACTTCCAAAGTATTGTTTTACATTCCCACAGCAGTGTGTGAAAAAATTTATTGAGAAAACTATTTTACCCCATTTTTGAAATAGTCTTAATTTCTTTGGAGGGCAGGACAAATAAAGTGACTACATTGGAAAGCCAGCAAACTGAAAAGATGGCAGACTAGGGTCCTAAAGAACCATCTTAAGAAAGTACAGAATTTAGGCTTCTTTTATTTCAAGAGAAGGGGAAAATGGGAGAGGCGAGAGGTGATTAATGACCGCAGACATCTGGGCGCCAACAGGGGGACAAGGGATATTGTGAAACTTTTTTTTATTTAGTCTATTGACTCTAGGTGATGTGAGTCAATGAGGTTCAGTTCTACAAGCTGGGAAGTTCAAGAGCATGGTGCCTTCACAGTCAGTGTCGAGTGAGAGCCCATTTCCTAGTTCACAGATAGCTGTCTTCTGTGTCCTCACACGATAGAGGGGCTAATAGTTTTAATTTCTGATTATGTCTATGAAAAATTCATGCATCAACTTAATTTCTATGTTCATTTTCATTATATTTACTTAATGTTTACCATAATTATATGTCATCTCATGTCCTAAATTTAAATAGTCATAGTTTTAGTTTCCTTTGAATTCCGAAAAAATCTCCAGGAAGTAAGCTATATTTGCTTTTTAAAAAATCATGATTGCTGGTATAGTAATTGTCTATTGTTCTTAGGGACAAATATGTATAACTATTTACAAACTTAACTTTTAGTGCTAATTAACTTTTTACAATGTTATTTAGTCCTATAGTTTCTTTTATAATAATACTATTTTTTAAAGAACAGATATTGATAGAATTTTTTACTTAAACATTCAACAATGGCTTCATTGGAGCTGGAGCATGGATCCTCCACCTAACTTCAAAGGTTACATTTTAAACAAAATTTACATAATAGAACATAGTTGTAGTGGATTTGTACTGTGTTAATTTTATTACACAAGAACTATGATTCTGAGAAATTCCCTTCCCTACAGTTACAGGTTAACCAGAGCCATGAGAGACATTTTATGCAAGATTTAGAAAGCAGCAGTGAAAAAAAACTACCTTTTTTTCTTTAAACAATTTTATTAAGACATAAGATACATACCATACAACTCACAATTGTCATCTTTTTGCACTCAAAAGGGCAATGCAGAGCACCAGGTACTGTTGCAGTTTACACATCTTGTCACTGATGTTTTGACTCACTGATGTTTGTGGGGAAGAAGCTGGGTCCACAGCAACTGTCTCCTGCTGGATCCCCTCCTTCAGCTTCTCCAACTCTGACTCCTGGGTCACGTGTACATTTACTTTTATAATGAAGGATATAACTTCTCTTGCAGGTCACTTAAAGTCAGAGGCTTACAGGTGGTATGGGACCGAGGCAGGTTCCAGCTTGACTTTAGTGGGTTGTTTATCTTTGCTCTTCTGCACTTCATATGCATCTTTCCTTCCTAGGCTTCCTGCCATGCTGGCATCAGGATCAGTCCCAGACACAGAAACAAAAGCCATAGTTAAACCATTTGACCAGTTTCCACAATTGTGCAAGGTCAAATTCCAAAACAAATACTATAGCATTCCCAGAGGGACTGGTTCTGTGATCAAATCCTGTTAAAATGTTACACACTCACAATCTTTGAGAATCCATTTTCAACAATAAGACATTCAAGGGCATAATTAGTGGAGAGTAACTGGCCTATGCAACCTTCACCCCTAATTCAGAAATGTCTTTCTGGAGGTTATTTTGTTCAAGTACCTCTTGAGGAGCTTTTATTTCTTCCAGTATTCAGCTCAAGATTACTACTTGGCTCTTCCTCCATATTCAGCTTTGGTATATTGAGTGAACACCAAGATGGAATGAAATGACCTGGAAATAAAGAATAAACTTACAGATCAATTGAATACAGGAGCACACTGTACATACTGCCTAGGCTTGATAATCAGGCCCTGAGGGGGGCAGAATCAAAGGATACAGCATGCTACTGTAAACGGAATGAAAATTAAAATATGGTTAACATTTGATATGTATGATTTTTAAAATGTATATTGTGGAGGTGTCTCCCCTGCCTGAGTGTATAATTGGTATAGGAATAATGTTTAAATGGAAATTTCTCCTTTACTGGGTAAAATTTTTCAAAGAATAATATGTTCATTGACCCTTTTAAGAGTATTAGTTGGATATACAAACTGAGAGCCTTTAGAGTCTCCTAAGCCTGGCCCTGTCTGCTGCTGTTGTGGAATTGGGCCTCTCATGTCAGTCAACTGTTTAAGGACATTACACGTCAGCCTGGTCCACAGATAACAGTTCCAAAATCTAAGGTTCAATATCCACAGCTGTGTCTCAATGTCCAGCAGATAGTCAAAATTCTCATTAAAGAAGATAAGCACAACTTTATCCAGGGGGCTAAATTACAAATTGTGTTTCTGGCAGTAATAGAATTAGATACAAATAAATGCCCCACTCCCTAACTGTTGGGCTGTTACCAATAGGTTTGCAATTTGGTCTGGCAAGCGGGCCATAGATAACTGGTTGAAAAAAGGGGTACTGCTCTTTGGAAATCTTTATGTAAATCCTAAGGGAAAACTGAAGTGGGGCATGTTGATGCTCACCAAAGAAACC